TGATACTTTCTAGAGTTCTGAGCTCACCATGAGTTTGAAAATCTTTCATTTTTTCTTTACTAATGTCAAACCAAAGGCAAGGATGTGTTGATGCTGCATTTTCTATTCCAAAAAATATAATAGCCAATTTCATATCGAAAGCACAAAAGTAAGGATTAAAATTTTAAAGCTTTAAATCTCAAGATTTAAATGAGCTGTTTTCAGTTTTCTGTGTCAATTTTCTGCTAGTAATAAACAATTTGTTTTTACCACTATTTTTTTTTTTTTTTATTACCTATTCCTTCCTCATTGCTAAACTTTATTTTTTGACATTATGCTCTGTCACTTTTTCTATAATATTTAAATAAACTTTTAAAAATCCGCCTCCAATGTCAATGCCCATCTTTCGAATGTAATCTTTTGACAATTTTCTCTTTTTTATTACTGCCTCAACAAGTCCATTAATGTTTTTACAATGAACCAATTTTCAGGAATCTTTTTCAAAAATTATTTCTATAACATCCAAATAATCATTTAAAAACTTCTTTACTTAATTTCTCTCTTACATTACTTTCAAATAAGTCTCTTCCCTTCCAGTTTTTAAACATGCTTCCAGTTTTTAAACTCCCTTTCTATTAGTAAGTCTACAAGTGTTTTAAAATTTATTTATTTCCTAAATTGGGATTTATTCAATTGGAAAAAGCGCTTTTGCAGAGCTTTTCGATTGTTCAACAGCAGTTGCATTATATTTGGCTGCAACCTTGATTTAAGTTCCTTCCTCGTCAAATTTTCTTTTCAAAAATTTTGAGCATTGAAGTTCAGCATTTTGTGTATCTTAATATCAAAAGAAATTTACATTCATGTTTTCAGTTTTTTATATTTCAAATATGTTAAATAAATTTCTAAATTTCAAGTTTGAAACATTAAATCAATGATAAAATGTTCGCCCTACCTTTGTTATTTTCTTCTGTTAAATTTTTTCTTCTCTTTTCTAGAGTGCAAGGGTGGTGTAAGCCTTGTACAATGTCAAATCTGCACCTTTTACATATTTTTATTATTCCAAGTAATGATGCTTTTACTCTTCCCAACTTGATTCTCCCTCTATTTTCAGATGTTGATCTGGAGTAATTAGTTCCAGCAATTTCACAGATGTCATTTGCACAGAATGATTTGTTTATGGTAAGAATACTGTCTTTGACTTTTGAGAAATATGTTTTACTCAGAATAATGTTATTATCTCTTATTAAATAAGAATAATATTATTATCTCTTATTAAAGAACTTATGTATTCTGTTCAATGTCACACTTCCTTCTTTAACTTCTGTAACTTCTGATCCTTTGAAAAACAAGCTAGGCAGACTAAGGCTCTATTATCTTTATGAATTTTTTTAGTATTTTGCATTTTGAAATGATATAAGTAATACCTATCAATTTTTAAAATGTTTTTTATCTACTGCAGTAAATAACAAAAAAAAATCATAATACTTATTAATAAATTTTCTTCAGTTGCAATTTTCTTATCACTACAAGAAAGTATACAAAACAGAGAAATGCTGTTCATACATTTAAACTGTAATATAAACGTATTTACCATAATTAATGTATGATTTAAAATTTGCCATAAAATTAGGGCCCCAAGGTCCAAATATTTGTTATGGAAAAGGGTAATAATAGCATTTTTTAAAAAACTACAATTATGAACAAGACTAAAGTTTATCTTTAAAATTCTTGTTTAGTAAAATTATTTTTCAAAATATTAGTTCTAAAGTAAGACCTCTTAAAGTTAACAACCCTCTCAAATAGAGGGGTTTCAAACTTTCCTTGGTTGCCATTTTTAAACAATAAGAAATTTATTTTAGATAAATTGATTTTTCCGATGAATTTTTTTTGACCTATTTTAAGATACTACAAAAAAAAAATTTTTTTTTTTCTTCTTTCCACATTTGGAGCAGTGGGTCCTGATTTTTCAGGTGTATATTGTTCCCAGGTTTTGTTCGTTGTAATCAATGTTACAGCTTTTAAAGTTTGCACAATCTCTGAAAGTTATTTTGAACACCAAAAATCCATGACCTGCTCGTTTAACCGTTTTTTAAAGACGTTACCAAAATATTTTTAAAATTTAGATTATAATTGTACAAAGTATCGTGGTTTCAAAAATGCAAACACAAGCTGTAGAAGAGTCTAAACAGGAAATCACTTTAGACACAGAAGCTGGAGTGATACAAATGTTAAGCAATGTATCAATCGATCAATCAATCAATATATTTTCTGAAATATTTGGTATTACATTTCAAGGTTGCTTACAAATAGTATAAACTACTTATATTAAGTAAACACCTAATAACAATGAATAAAATAGTTATAGTAATAATAATAATAAAAATATTTATAATAAAATAATGATAAATAATAATAATAATAATAACAATAATAATAAATAATAATAATAATAATAACATGTTACTTTAAAAATAGTAATATTAATAATGTAGTAATTAATATAAATAATATAGCAATTTAAATAAATCGGTATAACTTTCTATACAACAATCGCTTATACATACAGTTACAGTTACAAACAGTAATAAACTGACAAAACGTAACAACTAACGATGACATAAAAATAACCACTGTTAAAAAAAATTATAAAGATTTAGTAAATATATTACCAGTGGCGGATTAAGACTTCTTGGGCTATGGGGCTATTTTTGTTTTTGGAGGCCTTTTTATTGGCCAGAGCCTAAATATGACTTAAAAAAAAAAAAAAGGTCCTAAATTTTTTGGGGGCCCCTAAATTTGCCCCCCCCCCCCATGATCCAGCACTGATCATAACCAAAATATATTGCAAATAATAAGTAAATAAAAATGTAAACAGAAACTAATTAAATAAAATGTAAATAAAAAAACACTTAAAAAATCAAAACAAAACAAAAGATACAACAAACATTAAGAACAAAACAAAAAAATTATGTTAAATATTTTTGACAACAAAAAAAAAACAAAAAAACAACAACATAAAATAAAAACTAAAAACAACAACAAATAAAGAAGAAAAATATATAATATTACATGGTAGAATAAAACATATATGATAAATACCTAAAATGAAAATAAAAACAAATAATATATAACTGTATAAAAAATTATATATCACTATTTAAAAATAATTAATAACTAAAAAATAAAACAATAAATGACTAACAAAATATATAAAGTAAAACTTAATACACTAAAAACTAAAGAAAAAACATTACTACAAGACCGCATAACAGCAAAACTAAAAAATAAATCGTAAATAAAGAATCCTAAGAAATATATGAAATAAACCTAAAGAAATATATGAAAAAATAAAAAAATCTTGATTTGCCAATCTTTTTTCGATGTATCTTTCTTTTCCATTCATTTTTATTTCATTCATTAGTTGTTGTTTTTTTTAACTTCTATTTTCATTACTTTTTTACTTATTTCCTTTCAAATATTTCTTTTTTTTTTTCTTCTTTTAAAACATTTATTCATTCTTCTTTTTTAGTTGATTTTATTTTTCGTTTAATTTATAAATGTTTACATTTTTCTTTTTTCCTCTTTTAAAAAAGTTATTATCATCCGTTAGAAAAAAGCATCCACCATTTGCCTAAAAAGCAGGAAAACATTTGTCAGTTCAAAGGTTTTGTCAGTTTTAGAACGTTATTTTTCACTTCTCCTTACTGTTTATTGCAGTGAAAATTTTATTTTGTAATTGAATTGAAAATTCAATTAAAAACTAAAATTTTAATTGAAAAACTTTACACTTCTTTTACCAAGCCACAATTAAATTGATTTTTATCTTTTCTATTCTCCTGACTATGTATCTAAATGGGCTTAAAATCATTTAAATACACTTAACCTCTTTTTATATTTTATACCAGAATTTATAAACAAGTTAAAGTTAAATTTCTATATATTTTTGCACTGAAAATTCTTGGCATATAACACAAATAAACATCTACCAATTAAATTAGCTTGTTCTGATAAACAATTTGTAGATATTTTAGCTTGTACATTTCAAGCTGATTTTAAAGGATCAATCAAAATCAGGTTCAAATGTACTAGCTAAACAATCTACAAATTGTTTATCAGAACATTTGTTTTCCTCTTTTCCTCTTTCCTCTTATATATATATATATATATATATATATATATATATATATATATATATATATATATATATATATATATATATATATATATATATATATATATATATATATATATATATATATATGTATGTATATATATATATGTATATATATATATATATATATATATATACATATATATATATACATATATATATATATATATATATATATACATATATATATAATATGTATATATATATATAATATGTATATATATATATAATATGTATATATATATAATATGTATATATATATATATATATATATACATATATATATATATAATATGTATATATATATAATATGTATATATATATATATATATATAATATGTGTATATATATATAAAATGTATGAATATATGAATATGTATATATACATATATGTATATATGCATATATATAAAATGTATGAATATATGAATATGTATATATATATATATACATATATATAATATTTATATATATATATAAAATGTATGAATATGTATATATATATATATATGTATATATATACATATATATAATATGTGTATATATATATATATATAATATGTATATATATATACATATTATATATATATATATATATATATATATATATATATATATATATATATATATATATATTTATATATATATATATATGTATGTGTATATACTTCCTTGCAAAAAAGTACATAGAGTATATTTTAAATAGTAGTTTAGATGTTTATTTTACTATGGCAATTTTCATTTTCATTTAACATATATGTATGTATATAAAAAACCTTTTCTTGCTAATATAGATGATTTTAGATTTAAATGTTGCATCTGATTAAGTTTTTTTATTTCTTTTGAATAGCTCTGTTCCGATACCTGCTGATACTGTTACAGGATTTTGGAGTCATATCATATCACAGACTAATAAACTTTTTGTAGATGGGTATGGTACTTTTATTGTTATTTTATTTCATTAATTTTTTCACTATCTGCTCATTTATATATATATATATATATATATATATATATATATATATATATATATATATATATATATATATATATATATATATATATATATTTACACACATACATAAGGTGGCACTTAAAATATATATATTTATGTATATATTTTGGTTTTAATTTTTTGTTTAGTTTTTCATCAGTGAAACGATGCACAAACGAAGGAAGAGCACTAATGCTGTTAGATTTTCAACAATTTCTCATGAAGATTGAAAAAATTACTAAAGTCAAGTATGTTTTATAGCAAAGGTTTTAGAGCAGAAACTTGCAGATTTAAAATTTAAGTTGTTTTTAAAGTTAATAGAAACTAAAGAGTTATTTAAATTTACAAAAAGTTAAAAAAAAATTCAAGTAGGTTTGTTTTAAACATATTTATTACCTGCTTCAAATGTAAGTCAATTTTCATACACTGTTTGTTCCTTTTTCTTGCCTAAAACTACATGTTATTGATAAATATTTATTTTTCATACACTACTTCTTATTTTGCTATATTTTTCTATAAATTTGTAAAATATATGTTTTTCAATATGCTTTTATTATTGGGAGTCTTAAGCTGTTATTGTCAGTGGTTTATTGTGTGCAAAAATCTTGAACTTTTCACCTTTAAAAATATTTTTCTGTTCACATGCACAAGCACATTCAGTTCTTACTGATTCAATATACTTCATCAGATTTCAGTTCACATCATATTGCATTAAATAATTATTTTTTTTACAGTTTCTCACTAAGAAGTACAATTCCTAATATAAAAGCTCTAAAACCTTTTAAATTAAGAATTATGTTTAATCCAATTATCAATTATCAAATTTTATAGTTCTAACCAAAAAGAATCCTGTAACTATGCCAGATAATTTCAACTAAAATTAAGTAACATTAAAATAAAATGAATCAAATCTGACCGTTATAATCCCATGTGAATTGGATATATATATATATATATAATATATATATATATATATATATATATATATATATATATATATATATATATATATATATATATATATATTAAAAAGAGCTGCAAGCAAAATTAAAATAAACAAGAAATAACCTTCTCATCTGAAGATGAAAGGTTATTATATATATATATATAATATATATATATATATATATATATATATATATATATATATATATATATATATATATATATATATATATATATATATATATATATATATATATATATATATGTACATTTATATATATATATATATATTAAAGAGAGCTGCAAGCAAAATTAAAACAAACAAGAAATAACCTTCTCATCTGAAGATGAAAAGTTATTCGAGTAAACTGATTTTATTTTCTTTAAACCAAGCTGTTACTGTTTTTGCTTTGTGACAAGGGGCATTATCTTGCTGAAACTTCCATTCTGGCTCTTCTCCAAAAAATAAGTCTCTTGTTGAAATCAAATAATTTTCAAGCGCCTCAATGTATCTGTATTGATCCATTCTACCAGTATACAAGTAGCATAGTTCAGGTCCATCATACGTGATACAATCCTAGATCCCAACTAAACCTCCTCGGCCCTGTAACTGAGGTACAATAAAATGGTTATGAAACTTCTCAATATGGTGTCTTCGAACAGTTACTCTATATTTTCGATTAACGACTGTATAATTCGATTCGTCACTGAATACATTTTTTTTTTATATCACTATCACTCATCTTAAGAATTTTCTTGCAAAATTGTAGCCGTTTGAGTTGATCTGATCTTTTAAGCATTGGTTTTCTAGCAGCAGTATACGAGCATAGTTTATGATCAATTTATCTTCTATTTACTGTCTGTCTTGAGATGTCATTTTTAAGAGCTAGATTTATTTCTTGAGCAGTTTGTTTGGCTCTATACTTAGGATTTTTTTTTGGCAAATCTGTATATACTATTATCATCAGTGGTAGTTGTTTTTCTGGGTCTTCCGGATCTGATTTTATCTAATGTGCTACCTGTTTTTTTTCAATTAGCTATTGTTTTAGTGACACATGACTGCGATACGTTCTTGAGAATCAACTGAACTTTTCTTGTAGAATTACCAGCAAGGTGCAAGTTGATAATTCTTTCTTTGATTTCTTTTGAGAATGATGTTTTACCCATTTTCTAAATATTTTAAATGCAAATATTGAGTAAAAATTGTATATTTTGATTAGCGTGCACTAAGTAAGTAAATAATTTAATTTTTAAATGGATTTAAACATAATATTTTAGAAAATATATTTTGATCCATGTTAGAATTACAATCTTTAGAAAAAAAGGTTGGGCACTTATATGGAAATAAAATTAGAAAAAAGTGAGTCTAAATTTATGAGACACATTTTATTTGTTTTTGAATAGCGCTATTAAAAAATAAAAATAAAAAGACCAATATATACAATTAAAGGTGTGTTTTTTGTAATTATGTGGGAAACAAACTAAGTTAAATTAAAAAAAAAAAATTTCAAATATTATCTTAATAAATTTTTTTTGGTATTTTAAGAGCTAAGCTTAAGAAATTTTTTTTCTAAGTCTAAATTTTTGATCACTAGTGTATATATATAATAACCTTTTGTCTTCAGACGAGAAGTTTATTCTTGTTTTTTTTTAATCTTGCTTGGAATTCTCTCTCTCTCTTAACCTCTCACTCTCTCTAAACTCTGAAACACATCTGTTTAAATAAGGCTCTGTTTTTTTGAGAAACAGGTTGAGTCCAATACTTCCAATGGTATATACTGAGGTTAAAAAAAGAATTTACTGTTAGTGTTAAAAAAAAGATTTTATAAAATTTTAGAAAAAGTTATATTAGTTTTGTATTTTTAGACCAATACCTGAACGTGATTATGTTGAAAATTACATCAAAGCATTTTACTTAGTTGAGACTGATCTAGAGAATTGGCTGAAAGAACACCAGGTGATCTCGATTTATCTACATCATTGTTTAATTTCAATTTGTTTTAGTTAATAATTATTTTAATTTTAATGAAATTGAAGTTTTGATAAAATTAAAATAATTATTTACTAAAACCACAAACGAAAGGTTTCTTATTTAGAAATCTTTTATAAGAGTATTAAAAATGAATTAAATATTTTTTAGGAGTATACACCTAAACAGCTAAACAATCTTGTCACTTGTGGTACTAGCTCCCATATTGGGAAAAAAATGAAACAAAAAATGTTGAGTCTCTTAGAAGACCTTGAATCAAAATCGTCCTCATAGTCATTGTTCTTGTCTCGTAATCGTTTTTGTGTTATAGCAAACATTTTTTTATGAAAAAGTTGTAAATAAATCTATAGGAATTTTTTTAAATTTTCATCAGCACTTGAATATTTAAAAGTTATTATGTAAAGTGTATTTCAAACTCTTTTTATGTTTTTTTTTTTTTAATTTAATCCTTTTGTATATTTTATATTTTATTTTTTTTGTTCTAGTTTAAAAGATTATTTAAAATGTAATTTACAAGATTTATAATTTCCAATAGTTTTTTTTTTCGAATTTATTTGTTTCCAATAATATAAATTTGTAGTTAGAACTTTAGTTAAAAATCCCAACGTCTCGGTTACTATTCCAACGCGTCAGTTACCATTCAGATTCTGGTTAGGGAGGGATGCATCCCACTGGATCCGTCACTGTTTTAGATGTAAATTAAATACATGTTTAACATGAAATAAACAACTTCTAATTAAACAAAATATTAAGTACATTTTAAGGTGCAATTTCAAATGCAGGTGATTATCGCTTATATATTGCATGTTTTGGGTGCAAGAGTTTAAAAAAAATGAATATAAAAGTTTATTAAATATAAGGTTCCAAATTTACAGAGTTGTTATTTAGTAAATTCGGCACTGATTAGGATGATGTGAAAATTATCATTTATTTCAGTACTAGTTTGTTAAAATGTTGTGAAAAACGCTCTAAAAACTTAACTGAATAACTAATGTGGGGTATTAACAATTTTATTGCACCTATGTTAGAGTCAGTCAATTAAATACAATTAATCAAGAGAAAAATCACATTCACATATCTGATGTGAATGTTAGGCCGATGTTCTTTAAAAAAAAATTTAAAGAACATCGGCCTACTTTGGAGAGCAAAACTTTTTTTAAATCTAATTTGCTTAAAACTTTATACTTTAAACAAAACATCTTAAAACTTTTATATTTCTCTTTCACTCATTGTCATCTTAACTACGCAAACATGTTGCAGTACAAATAAAAATAAAAACTATTAAATTAGCAAAAGCATGCTATCAGAATCATTTCCAATTGTTTTACACATTCACAAGTATTATTTGTTAAGTCAAATGTAACGAACGTCTAACAAATTAATATCTATTATATTCTTATATTTATGTTGAAAATTAATAAAAAATATATCCGGCGATCGAATTTTCAATTTCTACTTCAGTTGCGGTAGTGGTGTAGTGGTAAGAAAGCTCGCTTTGTAAGCGAGAGGTTCGGAGTTCGACTCCCACCACGTCCCTGGAAGTACCGCGCTCAACTTAATTTCTCCGCGCAGCGGCCAGGTTCGTGTTTCGGAGTTAAAGAGTTGAAAGAGGGTTGTACCACGATTTACAACAAAAAAAAATAAAAATGAGTAGCCTCCTCGACTGTAGTGGCCCCCTTGGGCCTTGGGGAGGTTAATAATTTAAAAAAAAAAAAAAGGACCAAAATAAAGGAATAAAATATTAACCAATGAACTTAAAACAATTGCAACGCATAACAAGTTTAAAACCAAATTAAAGCAAAAACTATTGATGAAAGCAAAGCGGTTAGTTCGTTCTGCTGTTTTATTGGTTGCTACTGATAAACTTACCCAACGTTTAGAGGTTTGTTATTACCAGCTTTGCAATCTTAGAAAGGATTCTATCCCTTGTACTTGTTTCCATTCATCTTTGCATAAAAAATCTGCCATATACTTCTTAATATTTTCAAAGTTTCAGTATACTGGTTTAATAGAAAAGTTTCAGGTTTAGGCGTAAATATCTGAATATTAGAAGGAATTTCAAAAGCAGCATTTTAAAGAAAAGAATGCATTACTGTATAATGATTTATGTCAATCTTCCTGTTTGTTCAGGAAACAATATGTTGTTTAAAAATCAGAATCTAAATACATTTCCACTGTTACCTGATATTGATAAAGTAGCAGAGGTGTTGCTTCTGCCGCATCAGCCGTTTTAATGATACATGGCTTACTGGGTACAGAGTTCCCTAGCGTCTGTGAACAAAAATTCCTAAAATATTAACCAAGCTTCTAAAAATACTATAAAATTATGAAACTATAATTAAATTTTCCGTAAAAAGTTCTTTGGGTAGCATTTATTATTCACAAATGAATAATTTTTTTTTAACGGAAACAAGAATAAAGATTTAGAGTTTGTATATTCCAAGTATTAATAGAATCTGGTAAGCGAAAGATACTATGACTCAAAATGAGGTTTTGATTTTTCAAAAAAACGATGACCAGATATATTAGGCGCATGTGCGCTTCACTAGGCGCAGTGAAGTGCACATACGTTTACTAATATAAGGATAGGCGCTGTGTAGTGTACATGCATTGACTGAGGGTTTTGGTATGGGGTGGCAGTCATTTCTATTTATTTAATGGAAAATCCTATTTAATTTTTTACATTTTTTACGTTTTTGTTTTTTAAAAATAATATGTTAAATTTTCTTCATTTTACGGTTTAACAAATATTGTTTATTTTGACACATGATATTCTCAACCAATAAAAAAAACTTTCGATAGGATAATTTTTATTTTTTCGCTACCGACTTTCGGTAGGCTATCCACGGCGTAAAATTTATCGTTAACGGATCCAATTATATATAGTTACAAACATACCTTGTTTCCACTTTTTATTATTAGTAGTTTTTTAATTTTAGGATAATTTAAATAAATTTATAAAAATCAACTAATCAAATCTAATAAAATATCACTTTGATAAATAAATAGAAATATTCTGAAAATGCGACAGAAAAAAGCAAAAATGAAATGAGATTGAGTTGATGAAATTGACTTTTTTTTGCTATAAACATCAATCTTGGAACACAACTTCTGATAAAACACTTCCTTTCTGTTAATTGATTCTTTTTTTATTATCCAAGAAGGTAACTCACAGTTAATTTATCTTTTTTAGCAAATAAAAAAAGAACTTATTTCTTTTATTACACTGAGAAAGTTAGTAAGTTTTACTAAGATACCATTTTTCTATCAGTTTTAACTAATAAGTTACACAAAAAGACTTTAATGGAAGTTTATTGTCTTTCAAATTTAATGCATTTGTTCTGTTTTTTAAAGAATGAAATAATTTTATTTACTTTATGTTATATAATTTTACAAATGATTATCTCATCATTTTCAAAGAGTTTTATGAATTTATATTAAATAAGTTAGTAAATTTTGATAAAATAATCCAATATTTTAAAATTAAAGTCTTTGGAAAATTTAATATAGATACTTGGTGTAATAATGTAAAAATAGTGTTAAAATCATTTTTTAATAAATAAATCACAATGATGTGAATGAGTATGAATGTTAGACCAGCTTACATCAGATCATAAAAAACAGAGTGAAGAGAATGAAATGTCTACTTTTTTGTGTTTATTTTATGAAATTTTGGATTGCTCTGGTGTTGGTTAGAACCTTTTCTTTAAACTCTGTCAAAATTTCAAGTTACTTGGAATATTAAGTTACATATAGTAAATTTTTCATGTTATAATAAATGAAAAGTTAGTAAATAGTTTTTTAATAATAAATTGGTCAATAAGTTTAATAAGTTAGTTTTCAAGCAAATAATTAGGAACTTTATACATAAAGCAACCTTAATTTATTTTTCAACTCTAAAATTGTAAGAAACTTGGTTTGTTTAAATGAATGAGAGTTCTTAGCAAGCCAATATTGTTAAACAGAACTGTGAATATAAAATGCTCTGCAGAATTGATCTAATTTCTTAAATCTATGCTTAGTAGATAACAGATATTGGTTGATGACTAGCTAAAAAAGATGTCGCTAAAAAATTGCCTAAAAAAAAAGCTTTGATGAGTTTAAGAGCATAAGAATGTAATGATAAGTCTTAGTGAAACAGTTTTGTTTAGCAAATCTTTGGGAAATTAAATGTTCAAATAATAAAATAAAAAAAGACTAGAGATTACTAGGTTCTAGTAAAAGGTAAAAGTACCTTTTATTCTTAAAACAAGGCTAAAAAAAATTCCTTTTTAAGTTTAACAAAAATAGTTTTCAAATGTTTGTATTTTTTTAATTCTAGATTTCTATTGGAATAATGATTTATTGTTTGCTATGTATTGGAATTGTTAACCTTTTATCTATTTGTTAATGGTCTGATGTGGTATTTACACATCTGTCAAGTCTCCCCCATATGGCAGGAATCTCCCAAATTTTGAATAACAGTTTATTTCCCTCCTGAATTTACAAAAACTTTGAAAAACTCCCTTTTTCTTATAAGTTTTAACCAAATAGGTTTCTACTTTTTATTTTTTCAGATGGTTTTTTGGTTTGATTTGTGCTTTTGAATGTCTAATTTATTTTATAGTAGTATTACTATATATCATGGAGAAAATGCATCAATTGAAGCAAAAATATGATTACCAAACATCCTAGGTGCACTTTATACTCCAAAAACACATATTTATGTTGGTGGAAACAAATTATAATATTTTAAATATATTGAGTCAGTCAAATTTTAAGAACCTTTTTTTTTTAAAAAAAAGTAAAGATATATAGTTGGCAAATGCATCATAATTGGGCAATATCATAGTCTCTCTCATACCCATTCAAAACTTGAAAGCTCTGTATTTATGTTCAGATTTAAGATGTAAACTGATGTGGTAATCATATATATCTGTAAAAGCATAAATAAATTTTATGCATAAATAATGTATTTCAATATTCTATACATGTTCACATCATGTATAGAATAGTGTGAACATTTCTTGTTTTACAGTTTTAGTTTAATATAAATAAAAAAAAGTTTTGATACAGTCTAAGTTTACATGTTTCTAATTCAAACGTTGAAGAAATATAGTTCACCTGTTTTTCAATATTCTTGTTTATTGCACATATTTCAAAATAAAAATTATAGTATGAGTTCTCTTAAATCACTAAATTTTGACAATCTTGCTTTACGAACATTGCCCATTGATAAAGAGACCAGTAACCAAACACGAACTGTTGTTGGGGCTTGTTTTTCTCTTGTTAAACCAACACCTGTTGAAAATCCTGTTGTTGTTGCTTATTCCCCTGAGGCATTGGCTTTATTGGGTATTAAAGAAAAAGATTTAGAAGCAGATGATTTTAAAGATTATTTTAGTGGTAATCAGTTGTTGAATGGGTCTCAATCAGCTGCTCACTGTTATTGCGGACATCAATTTGGTTACTTTTCAGGCCAACTGGGTGACGGAGCTGCAATGTGAGCTTATTGTTGTTTTCTGATTGACTTGTCCTTTTAATAATAATGTGTTTAAGTAATAATTTTTTTTTAGTATAAACAGCATAATATATAACAAACTGTTAAAAAAGTTCTATTTTTAGGTACCTTGGAGAGGTTGTGAATGATGCAGGTCAGCGATGGGAACTTCAGTTAAAAGGTGCTGGCCTTACACCTTATTCTAGAAATGCAGATGGTAGGAAAGTACTACGATCAAGCATCAGAGAATTTTTGTGTAGTGAGGTGATTGTTAGCTTTTTTTTAATTTACCTAATATACCTATGTTGTATATATATATATATATATATATATATATATTATATATATATATATATATATATATATATATATATATATATATATATATATATACACACACACACACACATACACACGCTCTTGCATGGTCATTTTTAATTTTAACATTGCTCGGTCAGTTTTAAAAGGTTTTAAAAAAAATTATTTTAAAGACGAGAATTTTTTTTTTTTGAAAAGTTTTTTTTATTATTTGATAGACTGCCTGCTCCAACCAAACCCTCAGTCAATGTAGCAGCACTCCCTAGCAAGTCAGGCTCTAAAATAGTCGATATAGCATCACTCCACACATGCTTTACATTAAAAATAATATATATATATATATATATATATATATATATATATATATATATATATATATATATATATATATATATATATATATATATATATATATATATATATATATATTTAACAATAATAAAGTAAATACCAGTAATTGACCTCTTAAGAGAAAAAGTTCCATATGAATGCCATATCTTTAGAAAAAAAATTTTCAGTATTTTATCTTTTGCTTCAGAAGTTTTATTTATATATTTATATATTTAACATGAGAAAAATGAAAGCATCTAAATATTTTATGTTTTTAATTTATTATAGCACCAATCCAAGCATTAGCACTTTTGTCAAATAATAAAGTTATTACTAAATAGTACAATATTCTGAAATTTATCAATAGAGGCTGAGATTAATAAGTAAAATCTTTAAAAATATGTTATTTAAAGCAAAATGTTGTTATTTGCTTTGCTGGTAAATGTTTACCTGTAGATGACTTGCAATCTTAAAAAGTCTTAAATCAGTAGTGGTGTAGTGGTAGAGGGCTTGCTTTATAAGCAAGAGGTTCCTAGTTCGATTCCCACCATGTCCCTGGTAGTACTGTGCTCAACTTCTTTCCCTGCGCAGCGGTTTTGTTCGTCAAGGTTTGCGTTCTGGAGTTATAGAGTTGAGAGAGGATTATAACCACAAATAAGTAGCCTCTTTGTCTGTAGTAGCCTTCTTGGTGAATTAACAAAAACAAAAAAAACAATAACAACACTAAAACACAGTAGTTATAAAATTTAGAACAACAGATAATAAATCATGTTTAAAAAGTCATGCCTTTTACCCTCTCCCCAACCACCAAAATTATATAATCTAATATCAAATAGGGACTGCCTGTTCATTTTGTCTGGTACAAAAAAGCAAATCATGTTCTAAAATAGATATAAATTTTATTTATATACCAAAAAAAAGTATATTTTTATGCAGCAACTTTTAAAATATTTTTATGCAGCAATGAAAAAACCCCTTGAAAAATGATTTTTTTATTTTTTATCAAAAATTATAATATATATAATAAATCATTTTGACATACAAAAATTAATCAGTTTTGTATTGCTTACCGTGGCAGACTTCGGAATTAGGGTCAGCATATGCAAATGCCAACCTAAAAGTGTTTAAGGTTGGCAACCTTGCTAACCTGATTTCTATGTTTTATGGTAAGACCTTTGCATCAAATTTTGTGCCGACCCAATCCCAACTTTAAGCAGATTAAGGTCGACAAATAATTGCCGATCTTATTTTTCCTAATTCCGAGGGCTGCATATATATATACACATAGATATAGATTTATGCTATAAAATTTGATTTTGCTGTAGGCCATGTTTTATTTGGGAGTTCCAACAACAAGAGGTAAGTGCATATAAAATTTTTTTTTTTCAACAGTTTGTTTTTAATAACAATTTTAAAACTTTATTTTTCATAGCTGGCTCCTGTATAACTTCAGATACTCGTGTTGTTAGAGATATTTTTTATGATGGCAACCCTATCATGGAACGCTGTACTATTGTCTCACGTATTGCTCCTTCATTTATTAGGTATAATTATTAAACTTTTCTTGTTTTTTATTTTTGTAAAAAGTATTAAAAAAGTGATAGTATAAGTCTGTGTTTTCAAGTATGTGTCTCTCTATTTATTTATTTTTTTATATATTATTTTCACTTTATTTTTCATATCACAAATAAAGATTTGGTTCATTTGAGATCTTTAAACCTTTGGACAGAGAAACTGGTAGAGTTGGACCAAGTGTTGGAAAAGATGATATACTGCATACTTTGTTAGAATATGTTGTTTCAACATTTTACCCTGAAGTGAGGGGTATTTTTTTACTTATTTTTTTATTTTAAAATTAGCTTGTTTCAAACCTTGCTGAACAGGACTGATGCGCTGAGAAACAAGTTAATCGCACTATTACCAGAGACTTGGTGAGAATTTAGATATGTATATATATATATATATATATATATATATATATATATATATATATATATATATATATATATATATATATATATATATATATATATATATATATATATACAACCCTTGGAATTAGGGTCGGCATTCGGCAATGCTGACCTTACTGCCGATCTGAAAGTGTTTGAGGTTGGCAAAAAATTGCCAACCTCGTTTCTATGTTTTATTGTCAGAACTTTGTATCAAATAATTTTTGCGGACCTGATTGTTTATTGACATTTTTCCTAATTCCAAGGGTTGTATATATATATATATATATATATATATATATATATATATATATATATATATATATATATATATATATATATATATATATATATATATATATATATATATATATATATATACAATGGTTATACTACTTTTATTAACTACTTTTGATATACTATTATTGTTACAATTTACATTATTATTATTGTTATTGTTGTTATTAATATTGTTGTTATTATTATTATTGTTGCTATTAAATTGTTGTTATTATATTATTATTGTTATTGTTGTTATTATTACTTGCATCGATTTGCTCATTTTTAACAAATCAACCGCAGCAAGTTAATACATCATCAGAATGAGTGCCAGTGTTTAGTAGTGTTATCCAAGGATCTGCGCTAGCAGGATCCAAGGATTTGTCCTAGGATCTGTGCTTTTTTTGCTATCTTTATAAACAACCTTCCAGATTGTAATTAACTCTTGTTGCAAAATGTTTTCAGTTGACACTAAAGTAATAGCACCAATCCGGCCAGGATACAAAGAGCTTGACACTAAAATCCTTCAAACAATTTTTTGCAATATACACATTACTAGGTCCACTTTTAGGTGCAAAACGAGGTGTAACAACAATGATAGTAAAAATAGACTTAAGAGTCATGATAAGTTGGGATCTTAAACTAGAAAAACAAGTAAATAAATTGCAAATAAAATTGTTGACCTATTTAAAAATATATTTATAATCTGAGAGCCAACATGGAAGAAACTCTATGCAAAAAGCAATTTTTTCACTAACATAGTTGTTAACTGTTAGAACTCTTTATCCAAAAATACTGGGAATGCAGAAACAGTCAATGCATTCAAGAATCAGCTAGACAACCTCCAGCATAGTTGCTGCAGTGACTAAGCTAAGCTTACGTTCCAACTTATAACTAACTATTATTGTTGTTGTTATTATATTGTTGTTATATTGTTATTGTTGTTATTTTATTGTTGTTATTATTCTTGTTATTATTATTGTTAATAATTGTTATTGTTATTGTTGTTATTATTGTTTTTATTATTATTATTTTTATTATTATTGTTGTTATTGTTGCTGTTGTTGTTGTCGTTGTTTTTATTATTATTGTTATTATTGCTATTATTGTTATTATTATTATTGTTATTATTTTTATCTTGTTTAATATTTGTATATTGTACTGCTTAGGTATTTACTTTTAAGTACTATTACTGATTGTAGTATTTTTAAAAGTCCTTGAAATGTTAAAATATATATTTCATTTATAGATTTTATTTTATTTGATTTTGATTTGTGGTAAATAACAATTAATTGTTCTAAATAACATTACTATATAATATTATGATCATTTTATGATGATCTCCATTAAAAGTTACATTGTTAAATTATTTTAAATTGTAGTTCATACCCAATTTGTAATTAGATAATCTGATTCAATTCTAATTAGTTAGATGCATAATTAAATGATTTTACTTCAATTTACTTTTGTTTTATAAAAAAAAAAATAATTTGTCTAAAAGTATTATTTTTAGTGTATATTTATTTTTGTTTTATATATTTATTTCAAATATAAAGATTTGGCAAACGCACAGTGGCAACAAAGAAAAGGCTTACTTAGATTTTTTCAAGGAAATAGTTAGACGAACAGCTTTTATGGTTGCTAAGTGGCAATGTGTTGGATTTTGTCATGGGTAAATATTATTTATTATACAGTCCAGCAGGGGTCGAAATAAAGCCTACACACCTTTACCTCTCCAAAAAACCTACTCAAAAAGAAATATTAACATTTCTTTATGCCTTACAGATGGTTAGTTGCTCTTTTATGCAATCAGAGAACAACTTTAGTTCAGCCTTAATTTCAAACCCTAGATAAAACTTGTACTCAGACTATAAAAAAGTTTATATCTATAAAAAAGTTTTTTGTAAATATTTTTTCCGAATTTCTAAATTTAGGAAAAATATTTTAATTAGAAATTTACTAGAAAATTAAGAAATTATTAATTAGAAAATTACTATGCATAAATATAAGTATATATATATATATATATATATATATATATATATATATATATATATATATATATATATATATATATATATATATATATATATATATATATATATATATACAGTATTAGACAAAACATTTGTAACCAACATCGAACAATGCTAAAGAGTGTTCCTAATTTTACATGTCTTAAAAACGAAATGAACTATACTACTGCAGCAAACAGTTCATGAGTCTGGAGTCATAGCATGCCATGATATGAGCAATCAGCTGACAGGTGACAGCACACAGGCAGAATTTTGTTGACAAGTGCATTTTGCAGCAGACAAAACAAGTGCAACTTTTTTGGTTTGTTTCATTTTTTTTAAGTCTGGTCCGTGTCAACGTCACAGAAATTTTTTAATAATTAAAGGAAGTATCCAGAAGTTTCCAGAAGCATGCAGAAGTTTCCAGAAGAAGCATCTGGAAGCATCCAGAAGTATCCAGAAACATTCAGAAGCATCCAGACGCATCCAAAAGCTTCCAGAAGCATCGAAAAGAAACATCTAGAATCTTCCAGAACAGGTTCACACAGGTTCATTTTACTATATAAGAGACATGTAAACCAACATGTAATTCAGTCAGTATATGGAAGTCAATCAGTCAGTGTTATCAAGACATATTATCAAAGTGAGTTTTATCAGAGAACATCAATACAAGAAGTGAAATACAACAAGTGTTTCATTACATCAATACAGTCCACATCCAACCAAGACGTTGTGTTCCACAGAGCATTATTGTATCATCACAAGGTAAATGTAACATGGTAAGCCTTGAGAAGTGTGATTATTTATTTTTTTATTTTTATGACTTCAAGTACAAAAATGGCTCCCGACAGTCTTGGATTGGAACTAAGAAAGAAAATTATTGGCAATTACGTAAGTGGAATGTCACAAAAAAGTATTTGTTATAAATATCGCGTAAAAAAATGGATCAATGTTCCAAATACCATTCTACGGGGAAGTTGGCGCCAGATAATAAAGGTGGAAAACCGCGTTCCACCACTTCTAGAGAGAATTCTATGATTGTCAAGGATCCCTGGATATCATCAGTAAAGATACAAAAGCAATTAGAGCTGCCTGTATCGGACCAAACAATCAGGCGACGTGCTGTTGAAGCCGGATTGTTTTCTCGACGCCCTGCAAAGAAACCGCTGATTTCACTAAAGAACAAGAAGAAAAGACTCCTGTTTGCTACATCTCATATTGACTGGAATGTGCAGAAATGGCGAACTGTCCTGTTCAGTAATGAATCGAAGTTCAACATCATTGGGAGCGATGGCATTTGTCATGTAAATCGACTGGCCGGAAAACGCTTACTGCCATAAGACTGTGAAGCATGGTGGAGGCAATGTAATAGTCTGGGGTTGTTTTTCTGCTAAAGGTCTAGGTCCAATACATCGAAATGATGGAATAATGGACCGTTTCATGTATAAAAATATCCTGAAAGATGTTATGTTACCTCATGCTGAATGGAATATGCCAATAAAATGGGTTTTTCAGCAAGACAACGATCCGAAACACACTACAAAGTAGTCAAGCAGTGGTTTCTAGACAACCACCTATTGGTGATTGATTGGCCGCCTCAATCTCCGGATCTTAATCTTATCGAGAACCTTGGGAAATCGCCAACCGCAAAATTAATTGTGAAGTTGTTCGTAATAAGGATCAACTATTTGAACAAATCTAAAAGGCCTGGGCAGCGATTCCACAAAGTTTCATTGATCACCTGATCAAATCTATGCCTCGAAGATGCAAGGCTGTGATTGACAACAATGGATTCGCCACAAAATATTGATAGCGAAATACAGCTTGGTCAACATTTTGTGAAATTGCACTTGTTTTTTCCAGAAGGAAATCAATTTTTTTTAATACTTTTGATTAATTTATTAATTTTTGTGTACAAATAATGAACTTTGTGATAATTAAAACTTGAAGAGCGTTGTCTCTAAACAGTGAAATAGTTATTTCTCTTAATTGAAAAAATGCAGCACTTTTATATAAAGAAACTAAATAAGCATTATTTGGTTGCACTTGTTTTGTCCGATACTGTATATATATATATATATATATATATATATATATATATATATATATATATATATATATATATATATATATATATATATATATATATATATATATATATATATAGATGCATACATGTTATATCAGTTAATAACTTTTATATGTGTAATTTGCTAGATTTTAAATCATGTTTGCTGACAAAATGGCTAACCAGGTAATGTAACCAATTTTACTATTTAAATAGGGTCAAGGCTAATTTTAGTTAATCAAATGAATTGGTTACAATTTTAGTTGGTTACTATTTTTGAAAATTTAGATAAAGTTTTTTTGTTCATTAGGCTAAAGACCATTATATAACTGTTCAATAGAAATGTTAAACTGTTGAGTAATGGTTAAACTGTTTAATAAAAATTGTTTAATAAAAATATTTTTATTTTAAACATATTTGTGAAACCACATATTTTATTTGCTTAGGCAAATTGTCTTGAATTAAATTTAAATAGTACATAATTTAATTTGACTTAAAATGATATTTATTGATTTTTTTAATTATTTTATTTAGAGTGTTAAATACAGACAACATGAGTATAATTGGTGTAACAATCGACTATGGACCATTTGGTTTTATGGACTATTTCAATTCAGATTTTATTTGTAATGCATCAGGTAGAAACCATTCCATATATTTTTATTTGTATTGCATCAGATTAAAACCATTCCATATATTTTTATTTGTAATGCATCAGGTAAAAACCATTCCATATATTTTTATTTGTAATGCATCAGGTAAAAACCATTCCATATATTTTTAAAAAGTTTTGCAAAAACCATAAATCATATTTTATAGCTAATTTAAAATATATAACAATATTGTACAACAAATATTTTATAGTTCTCAAAAATGTAAGATCTTTTGTTTTTTTAATTAGTAGTTACCTAAGTTGCCTTTAAATTATTATTTAAAAAATAATTATTTTTAATATGAAGAAAAAATTTAGATATATTTTTTTATATTTTTTTCTTAGACACAAATGGTAGATACAGTTATAAAAAGCAGCCCGAAATATGTAAATGGAATTTATTAAAACTTGCAGAAGCCATAAAAAATGCTGTTCCTTTAGATAAAACAAAAGAAATTATTAATGAAATGTAAGTAAAAATATATCATTAAAAAAGTATTAATGAATCAAAATTATTAATAAATAAGGTTTTAATATTTTGTTTATTTTGTATTTTTTTTATTTGCCTTATTATTATTGTTATCAAACTAAATTTTTTTAAAAACTTCTTTAAAAAAAGTTCTAAGATAAAAACTGTTATTACTGTATGTATTATTGTAGTTTAGGAAACAAATTTTAAATTTTGCTCAGGTACCTCTGGTAGGGGAGCTGTGCCACTATTTTTAGTGTTTAAATATCCATATTTTTGTACCCTAATATAAAAAAAATTCAATATTATAAATATTTGCTTATTTGTATTGTATTGAGGGGCTGCTATAATCAGCCAATAGTAGTAATATAAAAATAGTGGTTGAATATTATTTAAAACCAGGTCAAACCAACCTTTGAATTTTTTTAGATAAAAATTTATAGTTAAGTACCTAAAACTGTTTGCTGATTCAAAATTAATAAAAATAAAACTTAACTTAATAAAACTTAAAAAAAATTTTGTCAACAAGAAATAATTTTTTATAATTTAAGAATGAGTTCATACAATTTTTTCTTGACTTTTAGTAAATTCAAACAATGTTACTAAACAATAATTTTTCAACCATAGGCTCCACTTGTTGTACTCTTAAAAATCACATCACTTGCTAAACCTATTTTGCATGTTACACTACATGCAGTACCTATTTTACAAGATACACCAGGCACATCATTTGTTGTGCTTTATTTAGATATATGTATACATTTATGCATCATTTAACTTTATATATAATATTTAAATTGCATAAGTAATGTTATTACAGTTAATCACATGTTCTTAAGAAAATGATATGACCCAACTTTCATTTGGCGCATCCCACCATTTATATCAACTATTTTGATTAAATTTTTTGCTATTTTGAAATTAAACATTGTTTCACATTTTTGACATTAAACAAACATTATTGCATATTAACACATAGTCATGCAACAAAAGTTTTAATTTTCTTGAACATCAGCAGCAAGCTGGATTTTTTCATACAGTAATTTTTCAGCAGTAAGGTGAATTTTTTCATACAGTAATTTCATACAATGTATGAATGAGAGTGTTAAAAATAATGATTCATTAGTTTTAAAAACTTTCTCTAATATGCCATATAAAGCAAGCCTATGGAAAAAACTAGTATGTCAGACTTTATCAAAGTCTCTAATACATCAAAAGCCCTTGCATCACCACTTCCAGCCAGAGTTGTTAACAAGGCCATAAGTAGCAAGGCTAAGGCCATATGTTACAAGGACAAGACCAAGGCCACATGTTACAAGGCCAAGGTCAAGAATAAGAATTTCAAGGCCAATGTCTACGCAAACATTCTCAAGGCCAAAGACTTGAATTTTTGCCTTACGTTAACTAAGTAATTACATAAAATAAAGAATGATTAATTATGTTATTAATTATGTAAAATAAAGAATGAAAACTTTGATTTTTTTAATTTTATGTATTTTATTATAAAGGCCAAGGCCTAAAACATCAAGGTCAAGGCCAAAACTTTCTAGGCCGAGACCAAGGCCAAGGCCAAAAGTTTCAAGGTCTTGACCTTGAAACTTTTGGCCTTGGCCTTGGTCTCGGCCTAGAAAGTTTTGGCCAAGGGCTTAATTTTTTGCCTTAAAGCCAGGTCAAGGCCAAGGACTAACAACTCTGCTTCCATCTAATACACAATAGAACCTTTTTGTTTAACAAATCTTCAATAGAACGAGAGATCAAAGTTCATGATGATTGTAAGAGAGTAAGTTATTAGACTCAAAATAAAATATTAGAAGTTTGTTAGTTAAAGGTTTAAAAACTTTGCTAACGATGTTAAGAAAGATTGAGAGATAGTTAGAGCAATCTCCTAAGTTTTTAAAAGTTTAAATGACAAATACAATTTTTCAGCATACAGGATTACAAAATTCAATTCTGGTAGACTGTGACAGAAATGTTGTCTGGAACATAAGTTATAGAAGATTTTAAGTGAAAAATAAGTTTAGCAACAATAGCAGGAGTGATTTGGCTGTCTAACAATGAATTAACTTGTTCTTTGGGATGACAGGAAGAGTGAGTGTGGTCATTCAAAAGATGATTTAAAGGAAAAGTTCTTTGTTAATAGTTTTTCCTTACCTTTAGGAGAGATAATAAGATCAGATCCATGTATGAGAGATAATATATTAGAATTGCCTATCATATTGAAATTGTTAAAGATTTTCTGAAAATCTCTAAAACCTAATTTCTTAGAAAAATTTTAAGACTTAATACTTTAAGAGTAATAGACCAATGTTAATGTATTAAACAATACCTCTTTGCATTAGTTTCTTGCAATGATAAAAAAGCATTTGTTCTGAAGAGAGTTATTTTTGTGAAAAAGATGAAAAAAAAATTACAATTAGAAATGGCATCTGCTTGTGAATAAGAAAACCATGGAGTTAGGATTGACTTGAAACCAATAAGAGTGTATAAAAGTTTCTATACCTGCCTGAATCCAGTAGACACAAATTTCAGCAGAGAGAGGAGACACAAAGGAGACACAAATTTCAGCAGAGAAAGGAAATGCATTACCCCACAGGCCATCACAAAAAAATTTATTAAAAGAATCTCTGTCAGTCTTAAGGTAGTACTAGAAAGTGCAGTGATAAAGTAATGTTGGAAAGTTGGAAACCATAATTTACGAATTAAAGGAAGAAAACTAAGATCACAAGATGAGACAGCCTCTCTGAGAGCCACCACAAAGTTCAGGAAACCTGGCTTCCAGCTGGCCTCAGAACCATAAAACTGAGTTTTTGAGCTGCACCATCGTTAGAAGATAACTGAATGAGTTGCCTAGTCTCAAAAACAGAGACACAAGCAAATCCCATGCATTGAGTCAAAAAGATCTAGCATTCAACATCCTAAACTGGAAACAATGTATTATAAATATATCTGCACCAGCATAATAGATAAATATGATAATCTCTGCAATACATTTATGGTTTTTATAAACATTAAACAAACACTGTTAATATGAACACTGTTAATATGAACAGTTTCTCTCTTGGTTGTGTAAAACCTAAAAGTAAGAGTATTATTGCTGATTCCATTCATCAGCATCATTACTGCTACTTGCGACTCTGATATACTGCCAAGTCACAACCCGTTTTCTCCATTATGAATGGTTACCTGTTATGTTACCAGTTAATACATTATATAATAACATGCTTAAAATTGTCATACTCACCTTTATTAAATATTTAAACTTTAAAGTAAAGCTTATACACCAGTAAAATGTTTGACTATGCAATGTTTAAAAAAAAAATAGAAAAAAATTTTAGATAGATGTTATTTTTTTTGCTATAAATTAATGTTTGTAATAAATAATAGTAAAAATTGCAAGATTGCTGTTAATAAATATGTACTTTGTTAAAAATTGATTTATATTAAATTTTTAAAAATTTTAAAGTCCTATAAAATTTAGCAAACTCTAAAAACTCAATAAATCATTAAAATTGTTGTTTTGCTTAAAAGTTTTTAAAATTTAAAAGTTAAAAAGAATTCTTATTAGCTTATCAGTTTTGAACTAAACATTAATTTGGTTTAAGTTGTATGATAGAATAACAAAAAACAAAATTACTGACTTTAAATCACATTGATCTAAACAATCAGAAAACACAATTTATGTTAGTAGATAAAAATAAACATAGTTTTTAATTGTATTAAATAAACATTAAATGAAAAGGAAAATAAAATAAAATGTTTCTGAAGAGCTAAGTTAACTGATATTAACAGTCAGTATTACTGTTTGTATAAACACTGTCATTTAATGATTTATTTACTGTAATTATTTTATCCTAAATTTAATTATATGATGTTATATAAATATTTGTTATATTTTTAAAAGATTTTGATAAATTTTTTATTAACATTACTAGCTTTTTAAAAGCAAGTATTAAATCTTGTCTCAATACCCTTCATCGCCTATCCTTTTCCCTCACACACGCAGTCTCACAGATTAAAATCTGATATACAAATTTTAGGCAAAAAATATTTTATTCTAAACTGAGTATGTGCTGGACCAGGGTAAGGATTTGATAGAAAACTAATAAGCATACATACTATGCACTTGAATTACAATATTGTTTGATCAATAAAATCTTTTGGTTTTAACAACAAGTACTGTACCAAACCACTACACACTGTGCAAACCTCTGAAAATATGGTTCTAAAGATAAAATTTAGCACAAAAACTAGTTCCATAAAACAGGAATTCTGGCATACCAAATATAAAGTAATTTTTTATTGCTTTTAAGTTTCTGGGTAATAAATCTTTTTTAAAAAACGATTCAATTCTCAATGAGTCATGTAACTGAAATTTTTGTTTCCAAAGGGTCTCAAAAAAACCTATAACTTTATAGAGATATCAAAATTAGTAATGGTTTTAAATATAAATCAGTTACTTTAATTTTATATATAAAAAACAAGACTCTAAATGAAACTCATTTTTTATGACATTTTGTGCTAAAAGTTTTCACATTGTGAAAACTATTGTGACATTGTCACAATGTTTTTAATAAAAAAGAAAAAAAAATGTTGTTAATCTTTTAATCTTAAAAACCTAATTTTTGACCGGCTAACACATGTAATTGACCAGCTAACCCATGTAATTGACAATCAATTGTTGCTGGTTTTTGGGCAGTCAAATTTTTTTTCTCTTTGTTAAAATTTTAACTTAGTAATAGTTCTTTATGACTGAAACTTATACACACAAAAATAACTTAATGTTTGAAAATTAAGGAACTCATATTCTTTTAAAAACAATGATTTAAAATAAAATAAAAGCATTTTTAAAATTTAAACTCGCAAGTAACTAACGTTTAAATTATCTGCAAATGTTAATTGTTTAAAATAACTCACGCTCATACAGATTTTCATTCAGTTAAAAAAAAAAGTTTGCTTATATCCAAGTAATTAAATTTAAAATCTCTGATTTTAATAAGCAGAGATATAAAATAATTTTTTATCTCTGCTCATTAAAATCATTTTAAAAACTGCTAATGTTAATTAGTTATTAATAAAGTTATCAACCATTGTGCGAAAATACTATTTAAACTTGATACTTATTACTAATTTGTTTTATAATTATTATACTATCGTTATAAATCGTTATATGAAACACTATTATAAAAATTACTGTTACATAAAATGAGATTTTACAAAATATATATATTTTTAAGAATCCTATTGAAGATAATTTAAATTTATCTATAAATCATTCATTCAAATGTAATGCATTTTTAGTAAAAACTTACAAAAAAATGAAAAGATTTAAAGAAAAAAAGTGAACAAATACATTTAAATGAAAATAATGTTCTTAGTTAAATACAGCAATTATATGTTTTTATATTATTATGAAAATAATATATTATATATTTTAAAATTTCATTCTGTTTATAAAATAATTTAGCATTACATAATTTATGGACAATCCTTTACATCATGATATTTGTAAAACCTTGTTTTTCATAACTCTGATTTTTTGAAAAAAAATCAGAGTTTTGAACAAGGTTTGACCTACAAGAAGGTTTGACCTACAAGAAGGTTTGACCTACAAGAAGGTTTGACCTACAAGAAGGTTTGACCTACAAGAAGGTTTGACCTACAAGTAGGTTTGACCTACAAGAAGGTTTGACCTACAAGAAGGTTTGACCGGCAAGAATTCATTTTAGGAGTTCAAAATAGCAATTTTAATCATTTCGAGCGGTTGTTGACTGATGACCGGCAGATTTACTTGACAATTTAAGCAGGGTAAATATAAATATCATTTTAATTATATTTAATTATGGCCAATGACAAAGGGTTTAATTATTTTGATTTTTTTTTCTATTATCTGTTGCCACCAGATAAAGAAAGTTTTATTTGATTAGTTGTTGTTTGCTTATTATATTCCAAGTCCACTGGTTATCTCGACTCATTCCTGAATTATTGGACAAAAATGGCTTTATAGTATTTTTATTAGGAGTTGTATATTGTCAGTGAGATCAACATTTTCATTACTTTTTTATGTATTATATTTTGTACTGCATACAGACTAGTGGTAAAATGCTCCTGATCAAGTAGTTCAAGGTTTAAATCTCACCTATGTGTCTATCTCACTCAAACTGTTACTCTGTGCAGTGGCCATTTTAACAAGGTTCATTTTTTAGAGTTTAGTGAGTAATGTTAAGAATAAAATCCTCAACTGTAGTGACTTCTGGAGCCTTAAAAAATTGAGTATCCTCCTCAATTGTAGTAACTTCTGGAGTCTTAAAATTATATGAAAGAAAAATAAAATAAAATTGAGAATAAAATTCTCAACTGTAGTGACTTCTGAAGCCTTGAAATTATACAAAAGAAAAAAAAAATGAAGTTGAGTATCCTCCTCAACTTTAGCGACTTATGTAGTAACTTCTGGAAACTTAAAATTATATAAAATAAAATTAAGAATCCTCCTCAACTGTAGTGACTTCTAGAGTCTTAAGGAGTTGAATTCAATTAAAAAAAAAAACTTTTATAACTTGAAAAAATTAAAATTTATTTTAAAGTTTTCTTTGTTTTTTCAGATGTATTAAGCAAAATCACATAACCAGATTTCTAACCAGATTAAAACATTTGAATTCCAAGAAGTCGAGCCATTACTAGTCCTCAATTTAAAAAAGAAGTAAACTGTTGACATTAAATTATGGTTTGATTTCACTCACTTTATTGTTCCCTGTAAGATTTTAGAAGGGGTTTTGCAAGATTTGTTTGTGAATTTCCTAAATGTAAATAATCTTCTTTTGAAACATCAACACGGCTTTTTTAAGAAAAGATCTCATACCATTAATCTTATTGAGACAGTAGACACAGTTTCCTATTATTTATTTATTGTTTCCTTTCCACGTAATTTACTTGGATTTCACAATGGGATTTGATTCTGTGCCCCATAAAATAGTACTAATAAAGTTTAAATGTTATAGGATTTCCGCCTCATCTTGGAAGGATATATTTAGTGGTGTGCCACATGGATACATTTAGTGGTGTGCTGCTCTGTTATTGACTATTAAATGTATTAAACAAAGTCTTATGTTTCTGGATTCTATAATATAAAATTTAGATCTAGCTAAAATAAATATCAAGGAAAGGATAAACTAGTAGATAAAAAAATAAACATAAATTTTTTCATGTAATTTCTTAAAAAAATGCTTTTAAGTTATGAACTCAAGAGAATAAATAAAAAAAAAAACACAAAGACCTATAAGATTTCAACCAATCTTTCCACAAATTTCTATCATTTATAATTTTTTCTTCGTGAGTTAAGTTTTTAATGAACAAGAGAAACAGTAAATTCATATCTAATTAAACCTTTTTATCTTAAGAAGCTAAGAGAGTTGTAATAAAGTGGTTAAAAAACTTTACATTAAAAAATAAAATAAAGTAACTTGATATTTAAATTTTTTTAGATATGACAGTGAGTTTAGAGAGTCTTATTACAAAGGTATGAGAGAAAAACTCGGTTTAAAAACAAACAATGTCAATGACGAAAAGTTGATACAAAATCTTTTGTATACCATGCAACAATCAGCTTCTGATTTTACAAATACTTTTCTCATACTATCTGGTGTCTCGCTGTTGAAGCAGAATGACAGGTGATTTCTTTTATAAATAATTTTTTTTATATCTTTATATACACATAGCACAAATATGCAGGCTTGGTCGGGAAGCGGGTGCGATTGCACTCGATAATTGACCACAGAAATAATATTTAGTTGCAAAAAAACGGCCAGATTTTATAGTGGTTTTGAGAACATTTCAAAAACAAACAAAAAAGCGCAATAAGATTAACTGGACTGATGAGAGACAGTTTAAAAAAGAAAAATTGCTTTTAACGCGAAAAAACTTTAAGCAAAATAGTTTTATTAGAGCAATTATTTTTGAATGTCACTCTTTTAATTTTTTTTATAAAATTAAGCGACATTTTTTATATAAAGTAACAACTATAAAAAAACAAATGTTCTTTGATTTATCAAAGGGTATATAAAATTTTTATTTATATACTTATGTCTTATTTCCAGTTGCGGATTGAGGAGGTGGGGTGGGGGTAGTAGGGCTATATCCCCGGGACTCATAATGTTAGGGGAAATTGTCAAGAGGACCATTCGATATTTTTTTTAGTCATTTTTACGCTGTGGCACATAAAAAAGGCCGCCAAAATAATGCAGCCCCTGCCCTGAAAAGTCCAACAAGGTTCAACCAATAAAACTAACGCTAGATGATTTATTTAAAAGTAAAAAAGTTTCTTCAATAACTGTTTTATGCATCATGTAGTTTAAAAAGTTTAACACATTTGAAACAATTCTTCTTAGTAAGTTGAACAAATTGATTAAATAAATCATTGAGTTACTCTATAAATTCAATTAGCTAGATAGAAATTAACTAAAAACATTAAATTACTTTGTGAGGAGGAAGCGGAACTGCTTCACAGTAACGCTGATGATGTTTAGTGAGTGGGTTTTATAATTTTAATTAGTATTTAAAACAGAAAAAAGTAACTTTAAGTTTAAGTATAACGAGTTTGTAAGAATGGCTGAAGCAAAGATAATTGAAGTTAGTAAACCAATTTCTAAGAACTTAAAAACTTTTCTTTCTTGGGGGAAAGAATCAGTTATCGGGTACACTGAGGAAAATGGATTAGTGGTTAAAATTATTTGTATTACCTTTGACAAAAATTAATAATTTCAAACGCAGTTATTATTGAAAGTATTTTTGTTTACAAAATCAATCGCACAAATTACTTTAAAAGATTACATTTGAATAAATTACACATACATAAAACTACATAGATAAAAACACATTACATACATAAAAATACATTACGTACATAAAAAATACATCCCTTATATATAAAAAATAAGAATATACTAATAAAATCTATAATATATTTACAAAACGTTGAAAAGTTAAAAAATATAAATTTTAAATATTTATTATTGTAAACAAATAATATTAGTTTAAAACATTTATAGCTTTGTAGATGTGGCTCTAAGAATTAAAATAATAGTTTGTTTGATAGTATATTCTTAAAATAATTTATGCTAGAAATCTCACGAAAACGTAACAAAATTCAAATAATACAATTTTTTTAAATATTTCAACAGAATACTCAGGACATTCGGTTAGTATTTTTTGAATACTCTAGAAATTTCGGTTTGTATCTTTATATAAGATGTTTGAGAACATTCAAGTTTATGTATGTTTCCATGTAAGTCCGTAAAACAAAATATTTTAAAATTTACGATAAAATGAACTTATTATTTTGCAGACAAACAAGGAAACATACATAAACTTAAATGTTCTCAAAACGACTAAAAAATCTAGCCGCTTTTTGCAACTAAATATTATTTCCGTGGTCAGTTATCGAGTGCGATCGCACCCGCTTCGCGACCAAGCCTGAATATGCAATATTATTTTTTTTGACTGAAAAAAAATGGTGTATAAGTAATATATTAATGAGGTTTGCGTAAATATTTACTGTAATATTTGTAATTGATTAGAGTTTTTATTTATGTCCATTATGATAATACCTTATTTCAATGTTCTATGTTAAATGAAACCATACACTACAATTACAATTTTTATTGATATAAAAATTGATATAATTGATTTAATTCAGTGAATAATTGACTTGTTTTTTTAGTGAAATAGTTGAAGAAATTGTTGCACAATGTCAAGATGCAGAAAGTTTTAAAGCAAATCATATGACTACTGCTAACATTAGGTTTTTTTTCTGAATTCTTTTTTTTATATATAAAAAATGATTATAAACTTTCGTTTTTGTAACATAAAAATGTTAATATTCATTATTTTTAATCATGTGAATAAATTTATAATCATTTGTTTTAATCATGCGAAAATGTTTATAATGATTTTTTTTAGTCATGTGAAAATGATTATAGATATGGCGCATAGGAATCCCAATATACTATCTCGAGTAGGACTGGAGATGAGTGAACTTCAAGCTATAGTTCAACAATATGAAGAACAAGATGTTATTAAAAACTTAACTCACGAAGAAAAAATTATAAATGATAGAAATTTGTGGAAAGATTGGTTGAAATCTTATAGGTCTTTGTGTTTTTTTTTTATTTATTTTATTTTATTTATATTATTCAACATCCCTTTATAAAGCAGTTGAAAAAATTTAGAGAAAGAATAATGTCTGAAAGTGAAGGTTCAGTTTTATTAGAGGAGGTAATTGTTCAGTTTCATTTGAGAAGGTAAAAAGGTTTTTAACAATTATTTTTATTAAACTATTTATTTTGTAATGGTTTTTTATTAACTTAAAAACGGTTCAGGGTGTAGTCAAGATCAGGGTGTAGTAAAAATGTTATCAAAGTAGTTTACTTTAAATTGCTAAATCTAGTGCGAATTCATATACATCTAGTATGAGTTCAAATCATCAAGATCATTGTGCGAGTTCAAATCATTTAAATCAGCTAAATAAATTGCCTAGTGATAATTTCTATATTTGTAAGAAAATATATTCCTGATTTTTTTTTTTGCTTGTATTATGTTTTTTTCAGTATGAAGAACATCGCAAACAATTGATGTTTTCTGTGAATCCAAGGTTATTTTATTAATTTAATAGTTTTGAAAAATTTTTAAATTTTTTAAAAAGTGTTAAAATTTGTTTAAAACGTGTTTTTAAGATGTTTTAAAAAGTGTTAGAATTTGTTTAAAACGTGTTTTTAAGATGTTTTAAAAAGTGTTAAAATTTGTTTAAGTGTGTTTTAGTTTTAATGATATAGCTAAGTTACTTCTTTCTAGACTAATTTTTTAAATTTTTTCTTTATTAATATTTCAGTTTCTTTACTTTAATGCTCTCTTAACACTTCGAATGTTAAGATTGAGTTTGATTTTTTTTTTATTAAAACAAGTTTTATTAATAAATTCTACTAAGTTTAATAAATCAGGTTTTTGTTTAAAATTTCTTTCTTCTCTTTGTAATCCAAAGAAAAAGTGTAACGTAATGTTTCGAATGACGTAATTGTAGAATGACACTCTGTTATGAAAAGAATAAAGAGTTCCTTGGTAATAGTAAATACCACGTAATGAAATTGTGTACAGTCAAAAAGTTTAACAGCAACTTTATTTAGTATAATTTTTGTTTAGTTAAATTATATTTCACTTAAGTAAAAAAAAGGAATGACACCAATTTTTGTTTAATATGCAAAAAATGTCATCAATTTTAACACTATTTTAACACAATATTTAATACTATAATGGGTGCTGCTCTAATAAGCTAGCGTCTCTTTAGTGCCATCTACTAAAAATCATTCTCGTGTTACTCGTCATTTGATTAAGCCTCATCCATTTACTGTGACTCATACGTACAAAAATTCTTATTCTAATTTTTTTCCTCGAAAGTTCTTGAGAATTCGCTTCTTTTTTTCCTGATTCATATAATTTGCAATCGTTTAAGTCGTTTGTTAAGCATTATCTTGCTTTATAAACTTCATATTTTCTCTTCAAGTAACTTTCAACTCTAATAGTGATTTCTTGCAACCTTGTTGGAAGTGAAGATGTAAAAAAAAATAACTTCTTTTTAAAATATAACGAGAGTTGTCAATAGCAGTTCCATTTTTTTATAATGATATGTAATGGTAGTTTCATAATAAATTTTTGTGCTCCATATTGAGTCCATTTCAACCAATATTTAAAATTTTCAAAATTAGCTCACAAAACAAGGACTTTGGTTCTAAGTACCTTTAAACAAAAATTTTTATTATCTTTGTTAAGATATAAAAAAGGACTATACAAAATATAAAAAATTTGTCTAGAAGATAAATTTCGGTTAGGCTAATTTAAATGGCTTCTCGGTTATTTGTATGACAAATTGTTTTTTTACGTTTCTTTCTACATTATTGTAAAAGCATTTTCAGGCTTTTTTTTTTTTTTTTTTTTTTTTTTTTTTGGATTAGATTTCAGCAATTTAACTATTTTATATAAACATTTTAGGTTATTAATTATTATCACATTTTTGTCTAAAAATAGTTTTCCTTAAACTTTTTGTTTCTAGTTTATATGAAGGAATATTATAGGAAATATATTATAATTATATTATAGAAAATTATTTATAATTGATTTTTTTGTATAAACCTATAAAAAAATTTTTCTATAAAAAAAATTTTACATTTATAAAATCACCTTTCTAAGTTTAATAATTTTTTAAATCTTATTAAATCTCATCGTTTTACGTTAATACTGAGAAATTGTTTTCAAGGTTTATATTAAGAAATCATTTGGCACAAGAGGCAATTGAAGATGCTGAGAGAGGGGACTATACTAAAGTAAATAATTTTTTGATTTTTATGAAAATTCAAATTAATTAAAATTTTGTAAGATCCTTTAGAGCACAAAATTTTTTCGCTTTTTTTTTTTCCCGTAAGATTTATATAAAAAAATTTTGTTATTGCTAGGTGCGTGAATTGTTACAACTGTTAAGAAAACCTTATCTTAAAGATTTATATGAATCACAAATTGCCACGAACAAGTACGACAATGCCGCCCCAGCTTGGGCTTGTCGTTTAAGAGTCACGTGATCTTCGTAAACCGTTAAGAAATTTGAGTTCAAAGTATGAGCACTGAATTTACTTAACCAAAGATTTAGTATGTCGTTGTATAGCGTCATTCAGATTTTTATGAAAGTATTCAACGAAACGATTAAATCGTGCTGTCTACATGATTTTGTAAATCTGACTTATATTTATATGTGTATATATAAACATTTTTAACTTTTGATAACGTGTTTTGTTTTGTTTTTTTGTTTTTTCTCAACATCTTCACTTCGAACAAAGCTGCAAGCAAACACTAAGAATTGGAAGTTACTGGAAGAGAAAATATGAAATTTATAGAGCAAGATAACGATTAACAGACGGCTTAAAAGATTGCAAATTATTTGAATCAGGAAAACAAAATAAAGAAAGCGAATTCTAAAAGAAAGTTTCAAAAAAACTAGACGAATAAGAATTTTTGGAGCACAGGAAGAGTCACAGTAAAAGAATGAGACTTGAGTGAGAGTAACACGAGAATGAGTTTTAGTAGATGGCACAAGAGACATTAGCTCTTTAGAGCAGTGTCTCTTGTGCCCATTATAGTATTCATAGAAAGAGAAAGAGAAGCAACATTACGACGATTTATAACGACATGTACAACATTGTTATGAAAATGGTTGGAGGTCGGCTGCAAGAGCAGGTCCAACTATGTTTACAATAAATTTTTCCACCTTGTCTAAAAGAGAAAGGGCATCATTGGAAGATCTGTCCAGATATAACAACAGTATTC